AGATATTCACACTCTGCGGCGACACCCATGCTCACCTCGAGCTCCTCATCTTTGAGACGGAGTCGCTGCTCGAGCTCACTCCTGCTGCGGATCGTCTGCATCAATTCTCGATCCATCTTCTCCAACTCCTCGCCCAGAGCCCGATTACAGGGGTCCGTTTTTAGCCGTTCGTGCAATTCACGACATCTGTTGCGATAGCGATGGTATTTCCCCAACACCTGTAGAAAAATCCTCGACCGGACGTTGGCCCTACGGATGCTCTCCACCTCCACAATGTACGTCTGAAAAATAAAGAAGCGGTTAAACCAATAACCGCAAACAAAAAAGACCAAGACAAAAGCCAAAGTATCATACCCTCAAGCCCATGACGGCCACTTCGTCCCTCAGCTCGGCATCAGGAATGCCACGCAGGGACTCGTTCTCAGCTTCCGAGCATAGCAGACTAAACTGCGACACCAAATTATCCCCCTCCAACAAAAGATTCACATCGGAAGGAATTTGGAGAACTCGAGCCGATCCTTCGGCGTGAACCACCGAACGAGTGAGACACTCCTCGAACATCCAGACGTCATCAGGATCCAGGTCTGACTCTGATTCATACTCATCAATCACCACACCTTTCCCCCTTTCTGCTACGGAAGGAGGAACGTGATCCGCCGCAAACGAAGAAGGTACATCCGAGGTCACTAGGGCAGCACTGGAGCCCTGGCCCTCTGCTCTGACAGGGCGCTGATCATCAATAGCTGAGAGAATTTACGGCTGAGCTGTTACAGCAATCAGAATCTCCGGGCCTTGATCACTGGCCCCATCGTCAACAACTCGCTCTGCCCCAACGGAAGACACCGCAGCTATACCTTCCCCTGAGCCCGTCGGGGGAGATTCATCCAGATTGATCACGGTTGGAGGTGCCATCTCGAACGCTACCCTCCGCCTCTTCGACGGTCCTTACTCCTCCCCGGTCGACGGAGATTCAGTTGCAGGTCGAGCGATATTAGATGGAGCCTCGTCTTGAGATGCAGCGCTTACTGAAGTAACCAAGACTGCAGACTCAACCGAAGTTGCCCTCAACGAGGGACGAGCAGCAGGTACCGCAACGAGATGAGTGGACGCGCCCGACTAGCGAAAGGCTAACTGAGGAGCGCTGACTCTCCGTACTCTCCCTGACAACGACAAACGGCATATAAGAGACAACTTGGATAGAGATAAACAATAAATAAGAACGTTCTCACCTGTGAGAGGTCTACGTCCAAACCTCTCGTGAAAGGCCGACCAAGTACGAACCCTCACTGTGTGGGGAAGAACGGCCTCTACCGATTCACGAATCCCTTCGAGAGGCGGCGGGGGCAACTTCTCAGCTGTAGAATAACAAAGCAGGTAAGTACCCACGACGCAAAAGAAGAAAAAGGAAAAAGAGGAATTGAACACTACATCAATCAAAGGCGCAGACTTACGGGCAAAATTCCATCTCTCGGGGAATCCGGTCGGGTCCGCCACAACGTGCTCAGTCCGCACATAGAAAAAGTTCTCGTAAAAACGACGATTGGTTCTGTCATCCATCTTCACCACTAGACCTTTCGACCCCCGAGGACGCGCGTGAATCATCGTGCCTCGAATTAACTTGGGAGCGAATAGACTAAGCACGTGGCCCAGAGTAACCTCACGACCGGCAAGCTCCGCATATTTAAGGAACATGAGGAACAACTTGTATAAGTAAGGAGAAAGCTGAGCGGGGCACACCTCGTAATAGCGGCAGAAATCCACCGCCAGCATGGGAAGCGGGAGTGAGTACCCGACGATGAAAGGGTAGGCATAGAACATACAATATCCAGGGCGGTCGAATTGAACTTGGTCGTCCCTCCCCGCCGGTAGCATCTCGACAAAATTGGGAACTCCCCATCTTTCCCTCAAATTCGCGATCCCTACCTCCCCCATAAGGGGGGCGATGTCCGTCGGCTCCCTTCCCCCATTGATACTAAAGTCAATCACACCCTTCCCTGGGCGGGGCATAATTTCATCCACCGAGGGAACTGCTTCGTCCTCCACCAAATCTATTTCGCCGGCAGCCAGAGTAGGGTTTTCAGTTGCCGAAAGGGCAACAGGAGATCGTCACGGGAAGAAGCACTGGCCATTTTTAGCAAAAAAGGGAAAAGAACTCACCGGGGAAGATAAAAAAATTAAGGATTGCAACCAGCAAAAGAGAAAGCAAGAACTCGAAATGTCTGAAAATGAGATATGAGAGGAATTTCCTTGAGGTAAACACTGAAGTGCGAGAAGCACACAACAAGATTCCCCTATATATAGGAAGGCCCAGATCCCCCGAGCTCGAAACCCAAGAGTCGCCATTTGAACCTGATAAGATGCGAAACGGTACCGAACTTAACTCCGTAAAAACGGGTGTCATAATGATAGCACGCCAAAGCAACGCTTCGTTATCTACAGGCGTTTTCAACTTGAAACCGTCGCACGACACGTGAGCACCGGGAAAACATTCCCCGCGCCATCCGAAGTAAGAAAGGCCATTATTTCGATAAATTCGAAGTAACACCCTTTAAGGCCCAGAGCCTACACCATCCAAGGGACGGAAGAGTTCGACCTCGCTCAAGCACGGACGATGTTATTTCTGTGAGTCCACCGAAGCGCGATTAAGAATAGAACGGGTGAGTCAGACTCCTCGCGGCTACAGTCTCGCATATGATCCGTCCATCGGGCCCGATGAGGTACGACCCTGCCGAACGGAGGGACTAACTGTATTGGTCAAAATCTGATTGCCTCGGTTAGGACGACCTCTACCGTATTTTTGCCACTGAGTAAGGAATCAAGTTAAACTCACACCCCTTCTCTAACGGATTGGACAGACCCGCGGGGGCGAGGTACCCCACGACCAGAAAACCCCACCGCCTCAGGTACGCCAAAGGCGTGGCATAAGTAATCTGATCTTTTCAACTATATATATACATGCTTGGGCAAGCTTGAGAGGGGGGAGCTTTTCGACCACTCTCTCGATAACCTTCAAAACAAAAGAAGAGACAGAGAGTTCTACATCAAGAAAAGGATAATGGTTCCATTGTATCTAGGGCAATGGAGGAAGCCCCATCCCCATACCCCGAATGAGCCGAAGATTTTGTAATCCTCTTTCCCCCCACGGAGAAGGAAGGCAATATTCAAATTTAAATAAGATCTGCCAATGCCATATTCATCTGGTATTCAGTCACTGTCTTTTACTCTATTTGGTCTGGTGTTGATTAAGTTTGACTACGATTTACCCCTTCCATCTTTGGTTGATTTGCTCAAGAAGAATTAAAATCTTTTGAGTCAAACAAACACTTGTCCCACAAAGTTCTCCCCCTAAACACGACTCTCAAACCCCATGTGGCTACATTGTGGATGCTACTGAATGAGAAGGAAGGATCCTTAATTTATAGAAGTCCAAACATTTTCCTGCAAGAAAAAAACTAGCAAAATATGAGAGATTTGTAATTTCCTTCTACAAAAAGGAAAACCCAATTAAGGTAAACATGTTTTCATTTCCTTCAACAAATAGAAAAACCAAATATGATAAGAAATTATGGCAAACACCTAACACAAGTAGCACCTATCGAGAATAAAATAAGAAAAATCGCTCGACTAATTTGGACATGTCCTGCATCAGCTTTCAAATTATCGGTATGTACATGTGAAATCATTGTGGGTAAAGATGTTAGTCTGTTAGAACTGGATGAAGTATGCCTAAAATTATTAAAAGACATACAACCTTATAGTTGATTGTTTTTTCCATATTAGTATGTTCATATTAGGTCGTATGAGTATTTAAATCTTGCCAAAGATTTACATGTTAGTAGAAATTTGATAGCTTTATATATTTTTTAATTTTATTTTAGATAATATTAATTTAAAATAAGTTTAAATTGAGCTACATAATCAGTAGTAGTAAAATTTTACATAATTCATCTGAACTCTCAAGTTACGAGCCATTCAGTTGTTGCTCCTATACCCGGGCCCGCAAAAATTAGAGGGAGAAGGTCCAAAACTTAGTAGGCGTTCGGACATAAGAATTGTAAAATTTAAAAAAAGATATTTTCAAGTGAAAATGGTATTTGAAAGTTTTAGAGTTGTGTTTGGATATGATTATAATTTTGGGTTGTTTTGAATTTTTGTGAGTGATTTGAGTGAAAATTTTGAAAAATAGCTTTTTGGAGTTTTTAAAATTTTCAAAAATTTCCAAAATGCATCTTCAAGTGAAAATAAAATTTTTATGAACAAACGATAATTTTGAAAAAAAGTGAAATTATTTTGGAAAAAAAGGATTTTTCTTTTTATGTCCAAACGGGCTCTTAGAATGAGTCCAATTGCACAAAATTGGCACTAAAAATGTAGGAATGTATTACATGCACAGGAGGACAGATAAGAGCAGAGTTAGGATGCAAAGTTGTAAAGAGGGATTGTAAAGTTAGAATAAATATATTCGCACTCGAAATTTGTGCTAAATCATTACTTTGATCTTAATAGTTAAAATTATACAGCAAGGATATAGATCCCTAAACATATATTTTACATTCATGAATATTCAATAAGGGCAAGTTACAATTTGCCGGCCGATCAAAAGTAATTATATCAGTTAGTTAATATTCGAAAAATAGACACTGATTTTATATATATCGTTTATACTTTAAGAGCGATTTTACAGCGTAATGTTTCCTAATTCAATAACCATCGAGTACGATACGAGTATATTTTTATCGGAGCTTGGTGGCATTTCTAGGTTAGTTAAATCCTAAAATAAGTGTTTTTTTTTTTTTTTGAAAAATAAGCATTTTGATCTTTGCCAAACAGGCTATTTCAGGAATTTTGGCACTAAAAAAGTAGATATGGATTACATGCAGAGGGAGACAGGTAAGCAATGATGCGAAGTTGTAAAGAGAGGGAAATCATATATTATGGTCCCACTAGAGGAGTTACTCCCTGGGATTTCCTAACAAATCAGCAAATTAATTGCGCAACGGAAATTCAAGGTGCAAAATGACGAAAATAGACACATGACCCATTTTATTCTTTCTTTCAACAAAAAAATTAGTCGAATCAATCAACCGGACTCCGTCACAGTCCCCCCACTCCTCACTCCCCACGCGGCGTTCCCTCCTCTTCTCCAAGCCGTCAACCCAAAACTCTACTCTTTTACCAGTACTGTTCCTCTGTTGAACATTTCACAGTTAGAGCGAGAAAGTTTTCTCTAGAGAGAGAGAGAGAGCGGCACCACGCTCTCACCAAAAACCTATCAGTCTTCGCTTTGATTTCAATCATTTCTTCTTTTTCGATCACATTGACGATTTTGTTTAGTTGATACCTGAGATTTTACGGCGTGATCTTATGCGAATGTGAATGTCCGCTGATTTGATTGATGAGAATTGAGAAATTCAGGACTTTAATTTGCTCGAGTTGTGTTTCTGGTGAATTAGCGTGAAGCATTTGATTTGGAGGAGGTCACGACATGAGCACCCAACGGCAGGCGGTGACGGTTCGGGACCTCATCGAAGAAGCTAAAAAGCGGATTGTAATCTTGCTCCTATGTGTCATTGGACTGTCCTATATGATGTCTCGTGAGTGTCCACTTTTTTTTTGTTTGTTTCAGTTTTCTCTGATGATGATGATGAATTTAATTCCATTCCTACTTGTTTGGATTAGCTCTAAATTAAAGCTTTGTGATGTGCATTTTGCTGCACGGAATGTATTTTTATTGAGACGTTGATTGGATTTAATGGCTAAACCATCCCTAGTTCACGAATTTAGGATTTTAAATAGATATGGTTCAGGAATAAATCCAAGAGGAGCACAAGGCTTCCCCGTGCTTTATCACATTGACTTGTCGTGACCAATGGTAGAGGTAGGAATTTCATCACGGGGATTCAAAAACCTACTCTCGGTCTTTATAAGGTAGGGGTAACGTATGCCTACACATTACCCTTCCCAGACCTCACTTATGGGATTACACTGGGTTTTTTGTTGTTGTTGTTGTAGTATTCAAAAAACGACTCTCTCTAGGATTGTTGTTGTATTCAAAAAACTACTCTCTCTCTCTCTCTCTCTCTCTCTCTCTCTCTATATATATATATATATATATATATATATATATATATGCGCATAAAAAGGTTATTCACCTATATCTCGATAAACATGGCTCTGCCACTGGTTGCGACATTGGTGAATGTTTGCCGGGATGGTAATAGGCGTCGAGTATGTTACTGCTTAATCTCTGTATGTTGAACCATGGCTCATGTGTTGCTCACAATTTCTTTCCTTTGCATTCAACCAATTCCTCTGATTCAAACCACCAAAGGTGCTGCAGGACTTTGAATTCGCTTCTGCCTGTCAAGGGTGGTGAACTGGTGGTGGTGGTGGTGGGGGGGGGGTCATATAAGATGCTCAATCTGAGTTCCTTAAGTAGTACCTCTCTACTTTTAAAGAAGCATGTTACGCGTGTGCATAGTTGAAGTCATCTGCCGCTATGAGGTTTCTCAACATACTAGATTCCCAAAATATTTTTTTCTCCATTTGACAGTGTTTAGGAATTTGGTTGTTTGCTAGGTTACTCATTGAAAATCACTAAGTGTATGTAAGTATGTACAAGTTGAGTGTGAGTGGAATTTGCTGCCCACATATCATAGATATTTATTCATCTTTCCATATCTGTTAATACTAGAAAAGCGCCAAATAAATGTAAGAGGTTCCATGTGTTTAACGGAAGAAAGTTAGGGTTCTTCTTTCCATAGAAGTGTTGTTCTGCCAGAGGATTAAAGTACTTGAGCAGAAGGTTAGGTCCCATATGTAATTCCCTTATAAATTAGTTATAATGTCGGAGCTTGAATAGTTATGCGTTTATGATGCAAGGAGGTATCTTAGTATCTACATGAATGGCAGCAAGTTTTGACTTCATTTCTCTGCTTCTCTCCCTCTTGTGCTGTGTATCTCTACTGATAATATTTGAGGTCATTTGGGGAATATGTGTATTCATTGAACAAAACATTCACTTAGAATATAGGTTGTTCGTATAGAGGAAATTTGCTTCTCTCTCTCTCTCTCATACGTGTTTCTTTCTTGTCTTGTGCTAGAATCACACAGGTGCCGTGGTTATCATTGTATCTTCTTTGTCCAGTATTCCTACCATGAAATTTATTTCCTCTTTGGTGAGAAAGCAGAGATTCAGGGGGAAAAGGATTCAGTAGGACAGGGGAGTACTTTTGTCGAGACTATGCCAAATGATTATGAATAATATGAACCATATTTGATATTTCCTTTAAATCTTGGAGATGCTAGATATTGACTTGTCACTTGATAAAGTAGCAAAATAATTGAAGACTGAACAAAGATAATAGGTAACCAGTTGGGTTTTGTCAGTACTTTCTATCTGTATGGCTGGTAACTTTGAGTTCTTAAGTCCATGTAGAAAATTTAGACACAACACAATTGGATTGCCAAATGTTAGTTTGCAAACCCTTGGAATAACTTAAAGCAATGTTGTCCAGTCATTACTTATCAAAAAAAGAAAATAGAGATGAAGCAAAGTTGTCCAGTCAGGATTTGACTTGAGAATCCAGAATGAAGTGGATAATTATTCTAGAGAATTGCAAAAAAGATTTAGCAAGGAAGACTAACTATGCAAGTTCTGATCGCATTTGAAAGTGTGTTGTAAGCTACTGTTGCAAACTTTAAAAGCTCATTCAGTTACTGAAACCGCTCTCAAACAATGCGCAAGAAGCTTTAAACTACAGGAGACCTGTGCAAGAATTTAAAAACTTAATGTTGGACTGTTGTTTCCTCTCCATGTATAATCAAGATTAATTAGTTTGAGGGAAAATGAACTCTCCTTGCATTTTTCACATTATTCATTATGCCACTTTATGATGAAGCTCTCCAGAAGAGATCATCCATCAGCATAAGAGGCTGGAGATAGAGGGGGTGAAAGTTCACGAAGTCGGACCACAATGAAAATAGCTTCCGTAGCTCGACAAAAATCGACATAGGCAAACAAAAGAAGTGGAGACAATTACACTATCAGGAACAAATTCCTGATGACTGGAAGTTAATTGCATGAGTGATGTTATTCGTCCTATGATGCATACGTACTTTTTGTTCTTCTTTTTCCTTATAGTTTGCATGGTTGGTTACCAGTTTAAGACCCGGAAGGTTTATCCAATGGATTTGAAATCTTACAATTTAGTTACAAACGGAACCAGTAGAGAAATCAGACGTTTGCTGAGACTACATAAAAAATTATCTTTGTGGCGTTTTGAGAGACATTTCTTAAAGAGATCCAAGTTGAGAATTATGTGGATGGAACTAAAAGAGATGAAACGAAAGTGCAATTTTCTTCATCGATTTGTGAGTTACAATAAATACTTGATTAAGATTGTGAACATCTCTTTCTACACCATGTGACTTACATATGTGTCACCGATATGGATTTCCTTGTCCTCATGAAACGTGTGCCCCATTTGGAAGCAATCTATTTCAATGGAAATTTAATCAAAGGCTATTATGGGAGGTTTATAAATGGAATGATCCTTTTAAATGCAACCAGAGAAACTATAATCTTTTACTGTTGCCCAAGCATTTCAGTTGACATGTTAGAGGGGATAGGAGGACCTTGGCGATGATCTTCTACTTCTTTGGTGCTGTTGAATGGTTATTAATACAACTTCCATAAGTATATGCTTGAGTTTCACATAAGGTTGTAGCCGTCGATAAAGTTGTAATGAAGATCTTGAGATATCAAGGTTCGAATCCACAACTACTAAAAAGTTACCTAATTGATTTCGCTTTATTTGGAGTCCCACATCGGTTGTGGGATGGGTAATTGGTCTCCTTACATGGTCTTGGACAGTACTCTCCTCATCAGCTAGCTTTGGGTTTGAGTAAGGCCCAAAGTCCATTTTTTCACATCATGTGCCTAAGTCTTGCTGGACAATGTTACCAGACCTATAGTGGTGAGAATACCAATACCTGGTAGAATAATTGAAATGCATGCAAGTTGTCCAAGCACCAGTATAGCATGAGCTTGTAATATTGCTAGACCTGATTCTAGTCGGGCTAATGCAAGAACTGTATATAAACGTCCAAGATTCCCTACGAAATATAAAGGTTCATATTATGCATAGCAAAGTCCCATCATTAAGTTTAGCAATTCTTATTAGTTACGTCATTGTTTGCTTTCTTAGAAGCTTCAAGCTTTATCTAAGAGTTAAGTCTTACAGCCTTCCTTTTGCATGCCTATCATGACAAAGCTTATTTTATTTTTATTTTTAGAAAGCACAAAACTTTTTGGTTTTGCACAAATCTTTGTTGATGAGTCCCTGATAAAAAAAGAACATCTTATTAGTGAGTCTTGCATGTATCTTGATGGAGATTCTCTGTTCAGAATTTATTATTACAAGAGTTCTCAGCTTGACCAGGAGCCTGGTTTTTGTAGTTTCTGTTGAGTGTCATTTTCTCATTAATTACATGTTAACTTTATTTGTCTTTGACATTTCCGCTTCGATTTACTATATATCTTGGCCGATGTCTATATGCCATTTTCTGTTTCCTTTCTCACCTTTGACATTTTTCAATGTACTTTCCACTTGCAGTAACAAGCTCTTCAGTTTTTGTCAACTTGCCTGCTGCTGCTCTCCTAATTGTTATCCTTCGCTATCTATCTCTGGACTTTGATGCACGAATAAAAGCTGTTACATACAAAAGCAAGTCATCCTCATCAAATGGTAGTATTCAGAAGAAACAGTTAGAGGGTCCAAAAGCAGTTAATGAGACTTCTGATTGGAGGAAGAAAGTAGATTCACCTATGGTGGAAGATGCAATAGACCATTTCACCAGACATATAGTCTCTGAGTGGGTGACAGATCTCTGGTACTCCCGGATAACTTCTGATAGACAGGCTCCAGAGGAACTTGTGCAGATCATTAATGGCGTCCTAGGGGAAATTTCATATCGGATGAGATCTATTAATCTTATAGATCTTTTAACAAGGTTTCAAAATTGTACTTACAGGATGCTACTGACATATTTCCTCTTTAGCTTATGTTATTCTATTTTTTCAAGTAAGTCATTCATTTGGATCATGCAGGGACGTTGTCAATCTGATATGCACTCATTTGGAGCTGTTCCGTACAAGCAAAATTAGGATTGAGAAAAAACATTCAAGATCATTGACTATAGAAGAGCGAGATCTGGAACTGAAACTGGTGCTGGCTGCAGATGACAAGTTACATCCGGCTTTGTTTTCTCCAGAAGCTGAACACAAGGTAATCTGATTCTTCGTTCTTATAAGGTAATAGTATCATTCTTTTTCCTTATAAAAACAAATAATCTATTGTTCCATTGGAGAACTATTAATTTAGGATGGTTTTATTTCACTTACACCATTTTCTTCTCTATCTGCAGGTTCTCCAACATCTCATGGATGGTCTCATTTCAGTCACGTTTAAGACCGAGGACTTGCAATGCTCTTTATTCCGCTACATTGTGAGGGAGCTTCTTGCTTGTGTTGTGATACGGCCAGTACTAAATTTAGCTAACCCTAGGTAACTATTCCTTGGGTCTTGCTTCCTGTACCATATGACTCTTGTTTCTGTTCTTTATTTCATCACCCAAATTTTCTCAGGTTCATTAATGAGAGGATTGAATCTCTAGTTATTTCATCAAAAAAGGCTGATAAAGGACCTACGGCAGCGGAAACAGAACACCAATCAAGTCCGAGTGCATCTGCAAAGGTATCCGCAGATCATTTTTCTCGGGTGTTGGATCCTTCTGCGAAAGGTGTTGAACTTGTTCAGTTAAAAAGGGATCAAACTAACGATACCAAGGATAATCATGCGATGGACACCGGGAATGGAACAGATTTGTCAAAGGATCCTTTGCTCTCGATTGATACACGGTCTACTCGTTCTTGGAGTTCTTTGCCATCACAAACCAACGCAGATGATGGTGGAGGTATCCAGAGACACCGCTCTGGAGGAGAGTGGGGTGAAATGCTAGATTTGGTGTCCCGTCGAAAGACTGAAACCCTGGCCCCAGAAAACTTAGACAACATGTGGACCAAAGGAAGAAACTATAAAAGGAAAGAAGAGGCCAATCTAGCATCAGATTCACTCCAACAGAGTTCCTTTGTAGGGGCACCTAAATCACAGAAAGAGATTGAGAGAGAAAACAAGATTAATGTGAGCCTATTTTTGAAGGCTAATACTCAACCTTTTCAATATCAAGAGGAAGATGAGCAAAACTTGGATGAGGTCGAATCAGAGAGCACTAGTTCTTACACTACTGAAGATGAGGAACCTAGCAGTGTGACAGGTCTTCACTCTCCTGGTATTTTAGTGTGGGATGCAAAAAATAGGAGGAACGTCAATCACATTCATCATCCACTTGAAAGTAATGCTGGTCATAAGACAAGAAAGGGAAAATCTAGCAAAGGGCATGTTCGCTCTAAGCACTTAAATAAAGTACCATCTGCGAGGAAAAAATCTAGAGTGAATAGCCAAACAGAGCATGTATGGCAAGAGATACAAAGATCCAGCTTCTTACTAGGGGATGGAAATGATATATTAAACTCTATAGATAACGAGAAACCAGAAGGTCCGAGTGATGACTCTGATACAGAGATATCTGGTAGAATTTCAAATGGCACGAATGCATCATCATCATCTTTGTCAACCAGCATTCTCGAAAACCACAAAATGGGTGCTAATACTGTGAAAGGTTCTATAATTGCTGATTCCTTTTTGAAGTTAACATGCGAGGTACGGCAGTGATTGCCATCCTTTTTTACATATTACTTCACTTTATGAATTACTTTCACAGAGTTGGACATCCACATATGTTATCCTTTCTTCTGTTGCAGGTCTTGAGTGCCAATATCGTAAAATGTGGCTCAAAAACTTTTGCTGTTTATTCCTTATCTGTTACAGACGTAAACAATCATAGTTGGTCTATCAAAAGAAGGTCTCTTGATGTAACTTTCTGCTTTTATCATTATTGTGAATGTCAAACATCTCTTTATCCAGAATATATCTCAACAGTATCCAGTGTCTTAATTTGTTCTGTTTGCTGCTTGTGACAGGTTTCGTCATTTTGAGGAGCTCCACAGACGCCTTAAGGAGTATCATGACTACAATCTTCATTTGCCACCCAAGCATTTCCTCTCCACAGGTCTGGATGTTCCAGTCATTCGAGAACGATGCAAATTTCTTAACACATATATGAAGGTGGTGCTCTAACAGATAGAATCTAGAAGTGTTTTTCAACTAGTACTTTGTGATCTATACCAGAGTAATTTCATGTTATAAGAGTTTGCTTTGTTGTCACAAAAATGTGCTTAAGTTCTTACCTTATACTGTTTTCCTTCTCATTATCGTATATTTTATCTTCTTTAAAAAAAATCACAGCAGTTTATCTTAGTCTTAATCCTATATTGTTATTGACTCCGTGATTTGCTGCGAAGTTTCTTCTCGCTTTCTGAAGTTGATGAAGTATAACTAGTTCTGGTGATATATGGATTTCATGGGCAGCTTCGAAAAGAAAACATTTCATGAAACTGGATTTTTATATATTCCTCAAAACTATCTTGTTCACTTTTTCTCTGCAGTTCAATTTATTTATTTATTTTTTTTCTGTGTCACCTTTAATCTTTATTTGACTCTTTTTCTTGTTTTGTCATAGAAACTGCTGCAGCTCCCAACCGTTTCCAACTCCATTGAGGTTTGGGACTTCCTCAGTATTGATTCACAGGTTGAAAGATTGCTGATTTTCTATTTTTTGTGCTTAGATGCATCTTTTGAACAAAGAGCGTTGATCTTGTACATTGTTTTTGCAGACATACAGCTTTTCAAACTCCTTGTCCATAATCGAAACATTACCAGGTGAGTAACTTACTTGGCTTGGCTAAGGGGCAGAAGGTTGGGTTTCGATTGTTATGTTAATCGTAAATGATTCTTGTTACTCTTTCAGTTGACCTGGATGATAGCGTATGCCGCGTAAGAAAAGAACCTCTGCCCAGGATTGGCCAAAGAACTGATAGCATATCCTCCACGGGAGAGCATTATGCTGAAAGAAAGGAGCGAATCATGATGCATCAACCTGTGGTGGATAAATCAAGATTTGGGAAAAAATATGTCGCACTGTCCCCTCCAAAAAGACCCATCAAAGAAACTTTTGAGGATTCAAGTAGTGACTCCGACAATGTGGTACAAACAAATAAAGTTTCTATCCCAACCATGGAAACGACGCTAAAATCAGTTGAAACTAATGCATGTGTCTCACATGCATCATCTGAATCCTTTATTGATGCTCCTGTTGATTCCTCCCTTCCCGTAGAGGTAGCTGCTACCAACTTTTTTTATGTTTTAGGCTAATAGGCTCTTTTGCCGTTGGAAACACTTGGGAAGAAATAGATTTGCAATGATCAGATTGAGTTAGTGAGGTTGAAAGATATTCAAGTTACCTTTTTTTCTTATGATGCTTTCATTTGGTTTCCTCTTAAGAAATTACATGTAGCTTTTCAATGAACTAAGATGGTTATGAACCTTATTTATTTTATTTTATTGGTTTCACTGTAGTGGGTGCCTCCGAATGTAAGTGCACCTGTTCTAGACCTGGTTGACGTCATTTTTCAGCTCCAAGATGGTGGGTGGATCAGGTATCATTATTGTCCAACTGTTTTGCTCTTGGACCTGATTGATTACTCATTTATGTTATAAACTTCTTTGGGTGCCTTCCAGGAGAAAGGCATTCTGGGTGGCAAAACAGGTTTTGCAACTGGGAATGGGTGATGCATTTGATGACTGGCTAATTGAGAAAATCCAGCGTCTGCGCAGGGGTTCAGTAGTTGCTGCAGGCATAAGACGTGTTGAGCAGGCAAGTGTCGCAATTTAGTTGTTTTTTCTTATCACAGTATAACAACAATTCAATTTGCATTCCTAATTATTGTGATTTAACTGTTAATACGTCCTAAATTATAGTACTGTTTTCGAAGATCTGCTAGTTCAAACAACGCTCTGTCCTCTAGTTATTTTTTGGTTTTTATGTATGTTTTCCTTTTTTGGGAGTGGGAATTCAGTAAAAACTAAAACCCTCATTAGCTTGCTTTAAGAGAAAAAGTTATAGTAGTAAGTATTGCTGTGTCTTATATATGTGCATTTAGATGATTGTATGTTTTTTCTTAAAAGGCTGAAATGTAGCTTCAGATGACTGATGGTATCCAAGATTCTGTGATTAACATTTTATTGATATTGGATCAAGTGTTCTCATTCTTTGTGCTCCATGTAGATTCTATGGCCTGACGGAATATTCATAACAAAGCATCCAAGGCGACAACGCCCTACCCCATCTACCAGTCCATCTCTTAATTCTCCTCACAACCAACCCCCAACTCCATCATCATCACCAACAGTAGAGGATATCCAGAAACTGGATGAGATGCAGCAGAAGGAAGCAGAACAACGTGCAAACCTTGTATATGAGCTAATGATTGGTAGGGCATCTGAGAAACATGTGCCCCTGGCTATTGACCATTTCGAAGATCCATAATGCTTTTTCCTTGTTTGCCATAATTTACTCTGGTAACTTTTTACAGAAAAAGCGCCTGCTGCTGTTGTGGGACTTGTTGGTCACAAGGAATATGAACAATGTGCGAAGGATCTTTATTACTTCATCCAGGTAATATAGTCAGGGTCTTTAGAACCTGCTTTAAATATGATAATATTTCATATCTTCATCTTGTTCTAGACACCTTTCCTGAAGTATTACTAGCTGAGGCGTTGTTCCTTTTACAGTCATCTGTGTGTCTAAAGCAGTTAGTCCTTGATCTTGTTGAGCTGATACTATTGTCCGCTTTTCCGGAGTTGGATTGCGTGTTCAGCACATTGCATAAGGAGAAGTCGAGGTTTGGAGAGCTCAAAATGGATTAGGGCGTCTGTTTTTCAGACAATTTGTCCATCTTTTAGAGGAAATTATATGAACTTCCGTTTTAGTATTTTCTTTACCTTTTGCCCTCCTGAGAAAATCGGTCTTTGCTTACACATCTCGCACTTGAGTTGTAAACGGTGCGGAAAATTTTGTTTTCTGGATAAATTTTCTTAGACAACAAAACTGTTAAAAGCTAGAATCAACTTCCCGGAGAACATGTAAATTAGTTTTTTTTTTTTTTTGGAATACTTTTTTTGGGAAGACTCGTGTAAGCTACATTCTGACCAACATTGGAGATACCGTTGTAAATGTTTGAGGTGGGTATAAATATACAAGATTCATATCAGTAAAGTTGTAAGAATTCTCCAGCAACACAGTATTTTTCTGATTGTATGTTCTGCCTTACAATCAGTATCCAAGTTCATTGCAAATTTCTCCTAAAGAAGATCAATGGTTTCAAATATGCAGAATTTAAACGACTGGCCATTAACTCATAGCGCTCATTCCTATACTCCAAGGTTATCAATCAGAGCAGAAGCACGGTAACCAGCAATTGAACACCACTGTGAGTGGATAAACGACTGTCTTAAATGACAAAGCTCCTAAGCTATGAATATTCCTACTAGTAAATCGGCAAGCAACCCCAAACAGACTTTGAGCGTTCCTACTAGTAAATCGGCAAGCAAGCCCCAAATAAAACTTTCAGAAAACCTATAGGACACATATCAATTCATTGATTTGCCAGAATACAAAAGCTTTCTGTTGGATACGGTGAAATCTACACCAGTTAGCACAACAATTACCGAATACCTGTTAAGCAATTAAACAATCACCTACTAATTTTTTTCTCCGATGTGATTTGAATTCTACCCGCATGACTTCACTAACTTCATTAGTAATCACTTCATTGACCACTATCTGAAGTCAACAAGAAAGCATTTTATTACCTTAGTAGACCATTAAATTCAAGGCTTTGCCAACTTTTACTTTCATTAGAAACGGCATCGACATACTATATGAAAATGCACATCGCATATGCATCCGCCAAACCAAAGGATGGATAATCCATCATAAAACTGTCCTAATAGCAAACGCAGGTCAGTTGGACTACATGCACAACCCAGAAAGATTATCATTGCATTTGGTTTAAAAGCAACAAGCAATAAAAGATACGAATCTAGTAAAATATTGGAAAATTAAGAGCTCAAAAGACCCTCAATTCTCAAATTCAAGGAAACATAAGCAAATGGACAGAATGTTCAGAGCAACCAAAAGTAGAAAACAGCCTATAAAATCCATTAGTCTCAAAATGCCAATTTCAACAACACATTTCCAAAATTTAAGCACTTCTAACTTTGACTGGCAATAAGCTTCCCAAAATTTCCTTGCTCTCTAATACTTGAATACCAAAATGATGCTAACGTTATAAAAAGTACCCTCCTCAATAACCCTCTCAAAGGACCTCAAGTAGAAGCTGCTGCCGCCTTCTTCCTTGGTGCTGCTTCAGTCCCTGGACAAACATTGCATATTATAATTTATTGATACAGGTGATTCAGAGTCCTTAACAGCACAAGCTATTAGTTACTATATTTTACTTTCAACTAAACAAGTTGGGCGTAGATAACATAATATTTCTAGCTCAATTAGCAAACTCTAACCTTCAACAACAAACCCAGTGAAATCACATAAATGGGGTCTGGGAAGGATAGTGTGTACGCAAACCTTATCCCTACCTACCTTATGAGGTAGATGTTTCCGATAGACCCTCAGCTCAGGAACAAGGAAAGTCTAACCTAAAAGCCCTAAAACTAAAACTATATAACAAAAAAAAAAAGCCCCAAAACTATAATTGATTCGTCGATCACAGAATATGCAGAAACTCAGATCAGAAATAACGGCAAGCCATAAGACAACGTGTACCTTCTCTGAAACCGGTCTTGAATCTGCGAGGAACATTGCGAAGGTACCTCATGCGGCCAGTACCAGTTGTCTTTCTGCGGAGTGCCTTCTCACTCCAGTTATCTGAAAACCATTCATTCACGAAAACAGTAAATATATCAAACCTAGTATAAGGATTTCATGGCGTTTTATGCAATACAAATGATGAGGAAACAGGAGAAAAAGAGCAATTACATTTCCTCAAACGGGCAGCAGGATAAGCACAAGCAGAACAACGACTCTTCTGGAGATGAAAACTGCGGCGACCGCACCTCACACATAGTGTGTGAGTCTTGTTCCTCCTCTTACCGAAACTTCCTGTTCCCTTCCCCTATTATAATACAAAATCCACATTCAATTTATCGTCATCATTTGCACGCATAATATGTAATAGAAAGGAAGAAAAAGTAATGGATTTTCACTTACCATTGCAGTGCAGTTGCAGAAACCCTAGCGTCCTCCTCCTGATCGACTAAGAAAGATGAAGTGCGGCGATAATTGCAGTGTTTATACTTGGTGGTTGAGATAGGGCTTTAGGGTTCTTCAAGTGAGCCGAAAAGGTTTTGGGCTAAAACTAATCTTATGGAGCCCATTGGGCTTCTTCTATTATTGAGCCCGGGAAACTTAGTAACACGTAATCATTATGATATCCATTTTTTTCAAATGAAATTTATTTAGGATTAATGACAAACACGTTTAACTAATGCGATATGTATTCATTAATCATTAGTTTACACAAATTAGTAATATTTTTTTGTTTCAATTTATTCTTGGTAGTTTTATCATAAATTTTACATTTTATCATAATCATTATTGTATGCGCGGAAAATATTAGAGAAAAAATTATAATAAATTATTATCGTACTTACTTGACTACCTCATGCTTTTATAATTTGATAAATTGTAAAATTTAAACCATTTGATCCACGATCGTTGATGATAAGGCAACTAATGTAGGAAAAATAATTTTATACACCCTGAATTGCCGTAACATCTTGTATTATGTGCAATGACATTCAAATATAATTTAACTTACTACGATTAAGAGATTTATTAAGTAAAAGCATGCATTTATAATAATGATTAAGTAACAGAAGTGCATATGTAATTTCATATGTATTTAATAATTTTTTATGAGTATTTGATGCTAATAAGTTTTTACCCTAATATACATAGAGTGCAAAATATTAATAAAATTAAGTGCTACTTTAATTCCTCCTTGTTTCTGCCTCCCAAGAAAGCATGCATTAAATCCTTCAAAGGAAGCCAGGCAAGATGTTCATCGCAACACTTCAATGAAATGGTTCTCTCTTACCTTGCGATACACTTTGATGAAGCCCATCATATCCCTCAAAACACAAATCCCTCCGTAGATAACTTAGTCTCCTAGCTTTTTTTAGCAGTTTTTATTAAGATTGCACATCTTTCCTTTACTATAATTCAATATATAAATCAAGCTCTTTGAGGGGGAAAAATAGGGGAATGACTTGGATACAGTGGACTTCCTTAGAGGCGTTCTTCTAGAAACCACAATCTTCTCGGGATAAGAATCATAAACTGTACGAACCTGATTTCCACTACATACTACAATCTTCCTTGGCTTAATTTCAATTTTTAGAACTCCGAGCATGAGAAAGAGCCGAAAGCAAAATTAAACAAAATTATATTTATTTGCTCTATTCTTCCATGTGAGTTCAGCATGAAAACTATATATAGCTTCACCAATAACATACCAAGTCAACTGCCAACCCCCTTTGTTGATAAATGAAATCACACTTATAGTTTAGAAAGGCGTAGCTAGCAAGTAAAGTTTAGCTTACCCTGGAGATTAGTTATTCAAGAAATAAAAAGAATTACGCTGCAAGTTGGGTCTGACTATATGAATCTTCACTAACTCAAGTCCTATCTTCCATCAACTTGGAAACCACCCATTTTATCCCATCTTCAAATGTGATCGCTAGCACAGTGAAATAAACTAACTACAGTTGTTACGGAATAAGTAATGTTACTGAAGTAACTATAACCATCACATTTCTTCTGTCAGTACGGCTCTCATAGAAATTGAATATTGAGGCTTATGCCAAAACAAAAAAGAATGTAACCATGATTAAGGGATAATTGGAGCTTATTCATGAGTTGCAACCACAAGTTTAACCTCATTTTCAATCTAGATTTTCAATGGTCTATCATAGCTTCCTCAGAATGTCAAGTAAGGCCATTGAGAGGCAGGGAACGATACATATACATCCAATTGAGCTAATGCAAAAATTACAAAAAATATCCAAAAATCAAAAACAACAAACACATAATTATAAGTTCTTAATCTTACTTGAAATTTAGAAGTAAAATGCCAAAAAAAAAGAACTGAGAAGCGCAACAAAGAAAACCTAAGAAAATTTGAAGAAGACGAATGAACAAAAAAAAATACCCTAAGTCCTTGGGGATCATATATTATTATATATGTTTTGTAATATTCATCTGAATTCTCTCAATCCTAAAATTGTTAGGATGGTAAAACCCAAAGTAGTGATGAAAGGAATAGAAACGTCATTAAATTCTGTCTCTGTCGCTAGATGTCAACTAAAGGTGAACCTTTTTAAGAACTTTTACAGTAAGCTTACAGAATATTTAGTATTGGTTCAGCTCTTTGTTGCTTACTGTCCCGGCTCCAGTATTCCGTCCAGGCGAGTCTTATATTTTTTTTTTATACCTTGCTCACTGATACTTTATTATATTCTATTTGATCATTGAAATACCTTTTTCTTAAACTATGGATATATGACATAAAAAATACATATTGAATTTTTTTTTTTTTTTTTTTGCAGAAACTAAAGGGGAAAATAGTACAAAGTTGTCAAATTCTTACATTCTTACATATAGAGAATTCTGTTGGGAGATAGGAACTAATAAGTTTCATAAATTTGTAGCCTATAAAAAATTATATTATGGGCATGCTGTAATCTTTTTCGCATAATATGACCCACATTGAAATGAAGATTTATAAAGAAGAGAACTTACCGGATTATTACTTTGAAGATATTGACGAAAAGTTTAAAACTTAGACATGGAACCACAAAAAAAATATAGGTAAGAATTTGATGAAGAACAAAAACGTCAATAATCGTATTATAGTAGTGGTTGATTAGTGATTCAGACAAGCATTTTATCTTCACATGAAATTATAGGAAAAACATAAATAACATTATTCTCACAGCCTACCCTCCACAATAATATTACTTAAAGGATGGTATGCTATATAATTAGGAGAAATTCGTAACGTAATACAAAAAAACTATATGATTTTGAAATTACAGTTTATGTAAATCTAAGCTATGTTCTTCAGTGATCCGCCATGAATTTTATATTAACATCAAGTAGTTCATTAGACAAAAAAAAAGGCAAAATAATTATAA